CCTTATTTAGAGCTTTAGTGTCTTTACTTATTTTTTGTCTTGTTGATCTATCCATTGTTGATAGTGGTGTGTTGAAGTCTCCCACTATGTATGTGTTTTCTCTGATGTCTGTTTTCAGTGATGACAATAGTTGTCTGATATATTTTGGTGCCTCTTCGTTTGGTGAATATATGTTAATGAGTGTTATTTCTTCTTGAAGTATTGTCCCCTTGATCATAATTTAGTGACCACTGGGGTCTCTTTTTACCTCTTTGAGTTTGAAATTTGCTTTATCTGATATAAGTATAGCTGTTCCTGCTTTCTTTTTTGGTCCATTTGCTTGTAGGATTGTTTTCCATCCTTTAACTTTGAGTCTATTTTTATCTTTTGTAGCTAAATGTGTTTCCTGGAGACAGCACAAGGTTGGGTTTTGTTTTTAATCCAGCCTGCAACTCTGTGTCTTTTTATTGAAGAGTTTAGTCCATTTACATTTAGAGTTAATATTGATATGTTAGCATCTGTATTTGCCATTGTGTTTGTCTTTCCTTTTATTTTATTTATTTATTCTTTTAATAACTTTTTTTTGGCCTCCTTTTGTTGTTATTTGTCCCTCTGAGGTTCAGGCTTTAGAACTCCTTGTAGTATTTTTTGGAGTGGGGGTTTAGTCGTAATGAAATTCCAGAGTTTCTGTGTGTCTGGGAAGGTCCTTATTCTTTCTTCATAGAGGAAGGAGAGCTTTGTGGGATAGAGTATTCTTGGTTGGCACTTGTTTTCTTGGAGTCTGTTGATTATGTCCCTCCACTCACTCCTTGCCGGTAGTGTTTCTTTGGAGAAGTCTGGTGTCAGCCTGATTGGTTTTCCTTTGAATGTTATCTGTTGCTTCCCTCTTGTCAGCCTCATTATTTTTTCCTTGTCCTGGATACTTGGGGGCTTTACTATTATGTGTCTTGCCATATTTTTCCTTTCGTCATGGAAGTTTGTTGTTCTTCTTGCTTCTTATATATCAATTTTCAGCTCCTTCTTTACATTTGGGAAATTCTCTTCAATTATCTCCTTGAATATTTTCTCTGTTCCTTCATCTCTCTCCTCTCCTTCTGGTATTCCTATAACTCTTATATTTCCTTTCCTCATGGAGTCAGATACTTCCCGAAGTCTTTCTGTGGTCTTTTTCCTTCATACTTCTCTTTCCTTTTCTGTTTTGGTTCTTTTTATTTCTGTGTCTTCAAGAGTACTTATTCGTTCTTCCATTTCATCTATTCTGCTTTCATTGCTTTTCCCAGAGTTCTTTAGCTCCTCCATTAATTCTTTGATCTCCTGCATTTCTTTTACTTCCCTCTTTAGGGACTCAATTTCATTCTTCTGATCGTTGATTATTTTTCCCTTATCATTGTTTTTCTTTATGACTTCTGTCAGTTTTTTAATCACGGCAATTTAAATTTTCTTTCTGGAAGGCTCAGAAGTTCTTCCGAGTTACTGTCATTGCAATCTGGTGGGTGGTTTTCTTTTTGTGGTGTGCCTTTTTCCTGAGGAGTTGCTGGGTTGCATGTAGTTTTTCTACTCCCTACTGCCTGTTTTCTAATTTGCCGTATGCCTTGGGACATTGTGTTGCTGGTACTGGCCGGCATCTTTTTGGTGTGCTCTTTGTGGGGTTCGGGAACTGGCGGTCTAAACGAGTCAAATACTGTTATGCCAGAAGTCTAGTGAGGCAGTGGTACTTTGAGTATGTTAACTGTCGCTATCACAGAATATTTCCTCCTTCTGTGTTTAATTACAAAGGTGTGTCTTGAAGTCCCACAATCTTCCCTGGAGGTGGGGCAGCTGGGTTGCACTCTGGGTTCCAAATCACTGGATCCCTCTCTGGTTTCCAACTTCCTGCCAGGCAGGACCAGGCTTGTGGGGGTCTTCAGCTTACCTCTGACTGCACAGGGAACCTTTTCCCTCTGGTTCCACAGGGAGCCTTCTGCCAGTTTCAAGCAGTCTTTATTGAAGAAAGGTCCCTGTTCTAAAGTGGTGATGCAGAGATGCACTCGTGTGCCTGGTCTGCCCAGGCGGTGGGTGCCCACTCCCCTCTGGGCTCAGACTGCTGGCCAGAAGGGGCCTGGTGTGGGCGAACTTCCCAGCTCACCTCTGGCTCCTCCAGGAGCCTTCTGTCGGTTTCAAGCAGTCTTACTGAAGAAAGGTCCCTGTTCTAAAAATATCATCATTTCTTAAAATAGTGTTGCTAGGTATATTATTCATGGTATGCTAATTCTTTTCTACCAGCATTATGAATCTGGCATCTCAGTGATTTATTTCTTTTAAAAAAATTGTTAATGAAATACCATTGTTTTACATCCTTGTTAATATATTGACAGTATAGGATTTCCCCTCAGATGTGGTCACCATAGCTCTTCCACCACCGAAGTACCTACAGTCCACTGATATTTGTTTATTTGCTTTAATGTTTTTAATAAACCTACTTATGTTTAACTGAGATAATACTGAGATATGCCCATCATATTACCACCGTAGTGCACCTGTTACCCATATTCCACCACCACAGGCCATTCTTTGTGTCTTCTATTTCTTTCAACAATGTCTTACAGCTTTCTTTATATAGATTTTCTACCTCCTTTGTTATGTTTACTCCTAGCTCTTTCATTTTTTTTGGTGTAATTGTAAATGGGATCACTTTCTTAATTTCTTCCTCTTCTATTTCATTAGGCAGGCAACTGATTTGTGTGTGTTGATATTAAACCCTGCTACTTCACTAAACTGGTTGTTTCAATTAGTTTTTCCATGGTATCTTAAGGGATCTCTGTGTATGTTATCATGTCATCTGCAAGTAATGATAGCCTTACTTTTTTCTCAATGTGAAATTCTCTTATATATTTCTCTTGTGTGATTGTTCCAGCTAGAACATCCAATAAATACTATGTTGAATAGCAATGGTGAGAGTGGACATCTTGTCTTACACAAAATCTTACTGAAAAGCTTTCAGCTTTTCACTATTGAGCTCAGTGAATTCTGACCTCCATAGCTTCCCATTCTAAGTCAAGTGTTCGGTTTACTGAGCACTCTCAATTTACAGTATGAGTTGTATTCCCTTTGAGGCATTAAAGATTCTTTGTCTTTCTCCTCATCACAGTCACAATGAAGGGTCTGGGTGTGGATGCCTTGGTTTATTTTGCTAAGATTTCATTGAGTTTGGTTTGTGAAGTTTCATATTTATCAACAAACATGGTTTAATTTTTTCAGTTATTTCCTTTTATCTCTCTGTTCACTTAAATGACTCACTTTAGTTTAGGTGTGGAGATGATTTTTGACCTTTTAAGTGTACTCTTTTTTTTTTTTTAATTTATTTATTGGGTCTCCCTGGTGGCACAGCAGGTTGAGCGCTGCGCTGTGAAGCTGGCTGCAGCCTCTGCAGCACGGGTTTGATTCCTGACCCGCCAGGAAGAAACCCACATGGCGTGGCAGACCTCTCCTGCCTCACCCGCTGCTCCCCTCAGCATTGTCTTCGGTCTGTCTGCCTGTTCTGCTCCCCACTCTCTCTGCTCCCCACTCTCACCCTCCCATGTCTCTGACCCATACCCCAGTTCTTGTATAAATAAATAAATCTTTTTTAAAAGATTTATTTATTTATTTATGCATACAAGATTTGGGGTACAGGCCAGAGGAGTGGGGGGTGAGAGGATTCACCAGAGACAGAGTGGGGAACAGAACAGGCAGACTCACCGAAGTACACTGCTGAGGGGAGCAGCGGGCAAGTCAGGAGAGGTCTGCTGCGCCATGTAGGTTGCTCCCTGGCCAGCTAGGGGATCGAATTCATGCTGCAGAGGCTGCAGACTGCCTCATAGGTTGAGTCTTAACCTCTTGTGCCACCAGAGAGGCCCTTAAGTATACTCTTGACACTGATCATTATTCACCTCTGTGTTGTCTGTACAATTCTTGTTCTTCAGCAGTAGATATTTCCTGAGGATAGAGAGCAAAACTCTCTATGTTTTATTTTGATATTCTCTATTTGAAAAATTGTCATTTATCTTCCTTTCCAGTTTAAGCAGAGGTTACTTCATCTCTTTAAAGTGATTTATAACTGTTTTCTAGAATCCTGTATCTAAGATGCTGACTAGAACACTAAAATAAGTACTTTTGTCCTATGAATGGCTTCCAATTTCTGTCTATTTACATGTGGCATGGTTGATTTGGTGGGGGAGGGGGTATGGGGGGTAGTTTCAAAGGTGTGCCCTTTAGCACACCTGGATACTGACTTTCCTTCATAGGCTAGTTTTTGTCATTTGCCTTATTAGTTATTGCGTGATTACACTGCATTCCTCCCTTATTTATGAATCCTCCTTCTCAACAAGACAAAGCTAATATAGACAAAGTCTATGCTCTGAGGGCATAGACTTGCACATGTACTCAGTCACAATTGGATGATACATATTTTATGACAGAGTGCACTCTTTCTCTTTTAAATTATTCCCCATTAATCTATGCTTTCTTTGCTGTCACACCAAAGATGAAGAGGAAATGTGTACAACACTCTGATGCCAGGATAAAAGGCAGTAGCATAAACTATGAACTATACACCAAAACTGACCATCTCTCCTTCATCCGAAACCATAAATTTACCTGTTATTTAATCATGTAGAGGAAACGAACAACCTATGAAAAACCTACCTGCTTAATTCCTCTTCTTACCATTCATAAACTAGCATTTTTGTAATTGCAAACATACAACCAGATCTTTCCTAGCATGAAAAGGAAAGTGAGTAGACCAGGATCTGGATTATACCATTAAGTATATCTCCAGGTCTCTATACCATTACTTTCATGATGAGTTTTGAAAGTTATAGCATGTGTCTATTTTTCCATGGATAGTAACTGTAAGAGTTCAAGTAATTATAGCAGGGAATTTATGAAGAATTTTTTAAAGTGTTCAAGTGGCCTACAGGCACTGTGGTCATCAAAGAACCAACATGGGTAAACCCCAGAGAAGATAAAAAGCACAAATAGATATGAAATAATCTTTTTCTTACCAGGATGAGTCTTTGATTGTGCCTGGATTTCCTCTTTTATTGAACCTCTTCTAGTAGCATCTGCGAAGCTCTCTACGTCAGTCTCCTTTATTGAACCTCTTCTAGCAGCATCTGCGAAGCTCTCTACGTCAGTCTCCTTTATTGAACCTCTTCTAGCAGCATCTGCGAAGCTCTCTACGTCAGTCTCCTTTATTGAACCTCTTCTAGCAGCATCTGCGAAGCTCTCTACGTCAGTCTCCTTTATTGAACCTCTTCTAGCAGCATCTGCGAAGCTCTCTACGTCAGTCTCCTTTATTGAACCTCTTCTAGCAGCATCTGCGAAGCTCTCTACGTCAGTCTCCTTTATTGAACCTCTTCTAGCAGCATCTGCGAAGCTCTCTACGTCAGTCTCCTTTATTGAACCTCTTCAGCAGCATCTGCGAAGCTCTCTACGTCAGTCTCCTTTATTGAACCTCTTCCAGCAGCATCTGCGAAGCTCTCTACGTCAGTCTCCTTTATTGAACCTCTTCCAGCAGCATCTGCGAAGCTCTCTACGTCAGTCTCCTTTATTGAACCTCTTCCAGCAGCATCTGCGAAGCTCTCTACGTCAGTCTCCTTTATTGAACCTCTTCCAGCAGCATCTGCGAAGCTCTCTACGTCAGTCTCCTTTATTGAACCTCTTCCAGCAGCATCTGCGAAGCTCTCTACGTCAGTCTCCTTTATTGAACCTCTTCCAGCAGCATCTGCGAAGCTCTCTACGTCAGTCTCCTTTATTGAACCTCTTCCAGCAGCATCTGCGAAGCTCTCTAGATCAGTCTCCTTTATTGAACCTCTTCCAGTAGCATCTGCGAAGCTCTCTAGATCAGTCTCCTTTATTGAACCTCTTCCAGTAGCATCTGCGAAGCTCTCTAGATCAGTCTCCTTTATTGACCCTCTTCCAGTAGCATCTGCGGAGCTCTCTACGTCAGTCTCCTTTATTGACCCTCTTCCAGTAGCATCTGCGGAGCTCTCTACGTCAGTCTCCTTTATTGAACCTCTTCCAGTAGCATCTGCGAAGCTCTCTACGTCAGTCTCCTTTATTGAACCTCTTCCAGTAGCATCTGCGAAGCTCTCTACGTCAGTCTCCTTTATTGAACCTCTTCCAGTAGCATCTGCGAAGCTCTCTACGTCAGTCTCCTTTATTGAACCTCTTCCAGTAGCATCTGCGAAGCTCTCTAGATCAGTCTCCTTTATTGAACCTCTTCCAGTAGCATCTGCGAAGCTCTCTAGATCAGTCTCCTTTATTGAATCTCTTCCAGTAGCATCTGGAAAGCTTTCTATGTTAGTCTCTATAAAAATAAACAGTTTCAAAACACTCTTGTAAGGTAAATATTAACATATTTGTGTTTATGCATATATGTGTGCATGGGGTATTGTTACTCCTCATTTTAGAATGTGTTTTATTATAAGAGAAGAATTTTAATTCAAGATATGGATTGCAGAAACATAGTAACAACTTGAAAGCCCATAAGCAACCAGAAAAGACACACTATGTTGAGAATTAGGCAGGATTAGCAATTTGACCAAAATGATATATTCAGGTAGTGCGAAAATCACAACAAAACCAATTCTTCAAAACCTTTCACTACAGCATTCCCCAAAAGTCTGCTTTTGCCAAGGTAATTCATACTGAGGATTTGATCTGAATATTAAAAGTTTCATATGTACTTAAAACATATTCATGTTGTACAAATGTACCAGGTGAGAACAGAACACTTTTCTTTCTAGGTCAATTTGGAAGCCATGGTCATGCTAGTTAAAAAATAATGCTGTGAGGCAGAAATAATTATATTGGTCCATGAAAATTGTAATATCCTCTTTATGTTATGTAACTATAAACCAAGGAGGCATTAATGGTGGAAAATAATGATTAGTAATTTTAAGGTTGAGATAAAATGTACTCTTAGAGCCTATTAGCATATGGACCTTCTAATTGTATCAGAGGTAATTATTTGTCATTTGCAGTAACATAAGCATTGGAATTAAATCCCTTTACATTTTAATCTTTATGTGATTTTCTTTTTTTTAAAAGATTTATTATTTATTTATGCATACAAGAACTGGGATGTATGCCAGAGGTGTGGGGAGGTGGGATGAGAAGATTCACCAGAGACAGAATGGGGAGGAGAACAGGTAGATGGACTGAAATACACTGCTGAGGGGAGCAGTGGGCCAGACAGGAGAGGTCTGCTGTACCATGTGGGTTAACTCCCTGGCCTGGGATTGAACTCATGCCGCAGTGGCTGGTGATAGAACTGTCGTTAACCCCTGAGCCACCAGGGAGGCCCTGATTTTCAATTACAAGACAATATTAGAAATTAATCTGTAGGTCCAATGATAGAGAAAATATGGCAAAATTCATTAAAAAGAATGGCATATCAACAAGGATTGATTAGATTGGTACTATTAGTTCATCTGTGTACAAAATATTAGTTCTAATACAGTATGAAGCAAAGTTGGAAACCTTGTATGAGCCAGATATTGTACATAGCAAGTCTTGTTTTGGAAAAAAGACCGGACCCATGAATACTCAAAATTTGGTGGCACAAATATAGTATTACTGAAATGAAAATAGGCAGGAAGCAGTTGATACATTCAGTCAATATTTATGTATTTTTTCTTTGCTCATCTATTCATTATTTAGTTAGTCAGCTAGGTGACACAGTACATAGTTAATTTTAGTGTATTTCTAGGCACAATTTACTAAATTCTCTTTCTCCAGATAAGGGAAGTCTCTCATGTTGCTCCTATGAGGGTCTATCCTTGGGCATGCCCAAAGCGGCACTTTTTATTACTGGTTACAACAGGACACTATTCTTTTTAAATCTCTCTTCCCATTACCCCTTTTAAGCTATGTTCTTCTGTCAGTATCATACGAAGCTCAAAGAGAGGAGTGTTTAACATTTAACACAATACTGTTCTGTTATATAATTTCCAAACACCAAGTATGCCTAAAGAACTGTACTAACTGCAGGTGATATATTGCGAGATTTCTTATTATTTTCATCTTGGAGAAAGACAAAGCAATAGCCATAATATTCCATTATCACATCCATAGATAGCATATCTGCATTTGCAAATTTGAAAATTCTATCTAGGCTACAAATAGTGAAAGTAAAAATAACTGGCTATTTGTGCACCTATCATGTTCTAAGTTGACTTTAGAATTGGTTTTAATGTATGACCTTTTAGATGAGTATGTGCTGGAACTTAAAATATCTAGCAACTTTTATAATTATACTTAATGCAAACAACTAATTATAGGGAAACTCTTTGAAAGCTTTTGTCCCCAAATAATAAACTATAGACAATGTTGTCATTAAACATCAGAGTTTAATTATACTCATGAGAAGATAAAAAATGTGAAATATTACACTTGTAATATCCTTATTCTTACCTGGGAGCATCACTGGTTGTGTCCTGAATTGTTCCTTTGCATCTGTTCCTTGCATTACATCTGTAAAGTTTTCTATATCACTCTCTAGGTATACAAAGAGATTTCAAAAATGCTTTGTATGGAAACTATTAACCTATGAATGTGTGTGTAGTGTGTGTGTATAGGATTAACTTAAACCCTTTTTTAACATGAGAGAACATTAAAATGAAATATCTATATGGCAGACTCACAAAACCTTCAAATGGAAACTTGGACAGGATTTGTAGAAGCCATGTTATACTGAGGTATAGAGATGTTTAGTTATAGAACTAAATTATGTTCAGTTCAGATAATGACAAATTTTATATAAACCATATACCACATAATTCCTTAACTAATGCTATACTATTCAATGCTCTCTCTTAGTAATTCAAATTTATCCCTGAGAAATTAGGTTACAAATATAAAATTTCCAGGTTTACATTAAAGCACACTCATTTTGTGTGGATGTACCTATTGAAGAGGAAGATAACATTTTTTTCCCACAGGTCAATCTGCAAATTATATTAGAGATGTTTACTTATTTGACCAAAGTGACATATCCAGGTAGTTTCCAAAATTGACACAGAAACTGTTATCTCGTAATTCCTTAACTAGGGTCTTTCCCATATAATCGGAAAGCTTTTGTAAAGTTCAATCATACAGGAGAATGTTTTGAATAATAAAAATTTCATGTGTACAATAAAAGTAAATCCATGTAGTAAAGATGGACATGGTAAGAAAAAACATAACTTTCTTTTTCCAGGCCATATTGCAAACTATTTAATAGAATATTACTAAACCTAACCTAGTAATAGAATATTACTCTATGTCAAAACAATTTCATTTGTCCAGGACTATTATAATGCCCCCCTTTTGAGTTAGACTATGAGTATAAGTAGAATATAATTGGTTAGTATGCACTGAACATATTCTGTTACCACAGAATTGAATTTTATGGATGATATTTTAGATGATTTAGTGCTAGAACTTGAAACATCTCACTACTGTTACATTGATACTTAATATAAGTATACCAGTAATTAAAGGACTTTTTCAAACATTTCACCCCAAAACCAGTAAACTATAGACAATGTTGACATGAAGCATTGACACTTATTTATACTCATGAGAAGATTACAAATATGAAATACTACATTTGTAATATCCTTGTTCTTACCTGGGAGTGGCACTGGTTCTATCCTGAGTTGTCTTTTCGAACCTGTTCCTTGTATTACATCTGTCAAACTTTCCACATTACTCCCTATAAAGAGATTTCAAAAATGCTTTGTGTGGAAACTGGTACCATATGAATGCATGTGTGTGAAGGGGGGAGGAGACAAAATTAATTATCTTCCTTATGGAAAAAATTAAAATTAAATGTGTCTATGGCAGACTCACAAAAATGTCAAACAGAAATTTGTGGAGCATTTATATAAGGCATGTTATACTGAGATATGGATGTTTAGTTATAGAATCAAAGCCTAATAACCAAAGCCTAATAACAGAATGACAAATTTTATCTATAACCACATGCAGCATAATTCCTCAACCGTGATTCTCTACTCACTGCTCACTTTTATGCAACTTGAATTTATCCCATGGCAATTATGACACAAATATATGTAAACTTCCAGGTTTACATTAAAGTACACTCACTCTGTGTGGTTGTACCTGTACATAACATTTTTTTCCCAAGGGTCATTCTGCAGACAATGGTTTTCTTAGTCACAGAAACATTCCCCCCACACCACACCCCCACAAGGGCATGATTTAAAGGAAGTACTAAGGCACATTTTGTGATATTAACATGAGTTATAGCAACATAAAACTGTGGCACACTAGCAGATATATTTTAGCCATTCTAGTCTTTTTTTCAACAGATATATAAGGTATAGGAATTTAAAGAGTGCTCTGGAGAATCTTACAATTTCCCTGCTTCATAATATCCTGCCACTGCTTTAAGTCTACCTAAGATTCTTACTATTTGTAGTTCATTGAGCTATTTTCAATCAAGTTGCCTATTTAAACCATCTAATTCAAACGTTCCTTTAAAACTTATATCAAGATGTGTGATATGAACATCCAGTTGTAGAAGCCACTTAATTCATTACTTAGACTAATTAAATTCCAGTGAGATATAGAACTGTTACTTCTATATAGTTCCACTACCTCTTTCTTTTGTGAAATTATTGTTATGCCTTATACATTATCTATGATGTCATTTGTTATAATTATTTTTATGTATAAATTGACATCATTTAATAAAGCTGAGGAAAGAATTAAGAGCAAGTATTTATTTACAGTGCCTGTTGTGATAAACTTCTGTTTTATAATTTCTGGTTCTTCACGTTTGTTCTAGTGGCTTTCAGCTAATGCACTCTCATTTTCTCACTCAAATACACGACTGCTCCCATACTTCATCTGCAGGGTGCTACTGTGGTGTGTATATGAATTTTCCAAATGTTATAAGGCCAACAAAGTACCAATATAGTTATTGTCTAAAACAATTACCTTTGAAATCAATTTAGACAAGAAAGGAGTCAAGGTATATTTTCATACAGTTTTTTGGATTTATACAGTTCCTTACCCATGCCCTCTTTGCAGAGATTCAAAAGTCTGTCAGAGGTCAATCACTTTCCTTTTGAAAAACTTTTATTGTATTTCTGGTATAGTTTGCTGCTAGAAGATCGTTCTCTCAATTTTTATTTATCTGGGATCCTTTTATCTCATTTTCATATTTTTTTTAAAAAAGATTTATTTGTTTATTTATATAAGCACTGGGTATAGTCAGAAGCATGGGAGGGTGAGAGAATTCACCAGAGCCAGAGCGGGGAGCAGAACAGGCAGACTGACAAAGTACACTGCTAAGGGGAGCAGTAGCGGGGCAGGAGAGGTCTGCGCACCATGTGGGACCCACACCAGTGGCCGGGGATTGTCCCAGCGCTACAAAGGCTGCAGGCAGCTTCACAGCCCAGTGCTCAACTGCTGCGCCACCACCGGGGAGGCCCTCATTTTCATTTTTGAAAGATAGCTTAGCTGTAGATTATTCTTGGTGCGTAGTGTTTTATTCTGTCAGCATTTTTAATCTGCCATCTCACTGCCTTCTGGTATCCATAGTTTCCCATGCTAAATCAGCTGTTTAGTTACCGGGGTGCTCTTTCACATGAGTTGTTTTCCTTTTCATGTATTCAAGGTTTTGTCTGTCTTTATCCACATCACATTCACTTTAATGGTTCTGGGTGTGGGCATCTTGATAATTTGCTATGATTCCACTCAATTTGGATTGTAGGTTTGCAGGTTCATATTTATCAACAAATGTTTCAATATTTTAAGTTACTATTTCCAGTTTCTCCTGCCCCTTTCTCTGTTCTACTTAAATTGTTCACTCTATTTTATGAATATTCTTTTATGACCTTTCAAATTTACTCTTGATGACTGTCTAGTTATTCCCATCTCTGCTATCCTGACTCTGCACATACTTTCCACAGCATATTTTTCATTGTGATTGAAAGAAAAAAGAAAAAAATTCTATGTATTTTATAATATTCCCTATTTGATGAGTTGCTGCCATAAATCTTCATTTCCTGGTACTCAGCAGCTTTTTTCAACTTTTTAAACATAGTTACTGGAAGCTTACCTCTAGGATGCTCATAAAAACTCTTTGACTCCCAATTTATTGTTTTTTTACATGTCCCTGGTTGTTTCCTTAGGGGTAAAGGGGGTGGAAAAGTGTATAAAAATGGCCTTAAGATAAAATATTTTGGGCCTCCCCTGGTGGTGCAGCGGTTGAGCACTGGGCTGCAAAGCTGCCCGCAGCCTCAGCAGCACCAGTTTGATCCCCGGCCGCTGGCGAGGGTCCCACATGGTGTGACAGACCTCTCCTGTCTCACCCATTGCTCCCGTCAGCAGTGTACTTTGTCAGCCTGCCTGTTCTGTTCCCCGCTCTGGCTCTGGTGAATTCTCTCACCCTCCCATGCTTCTGACTGTACCCAGTGCTTGTATGAATAAATAAATAAATCTTTTAAAAAAAGAGATAAAATATTTCATTCAGCACACCTGGATTCTTATTTTCTCTCTCTTTGTAGACTTGTTGTTGTGGTTTGCCTGATTATTATTGATTATTCTACACTATTTCCTATTTTATAATGTCTCCTGTACAATATGAAACATCTGTCTAATAATTCTATGCCTCTAAGGCACAGACTGGGGCATTTGCTTAGTCACAATTGGATGACAATAGTTTTTTGACAGTGCTTTCCCCTCTGATTGTGTCTTGACCTTATTTCTCACTAATCTCTCTCCTACCTTTGCTGTCACGCCAAACATGAAGTGTGTCAAACACTGTCATGTCAGGTTATAGGGCAGTAAATTATGAACTATAAACCTGATAATCTCCCCTTCATATGATAATATAAACTTAATAGATATTTTCATCATATAGAGGTAAATAATAACCAGTGAAATAAGTTCCCGCTCAATTACTTGTCCTATCATTCATAAGCTAACATATCAGCTTTTGCAAATAAAAACTGTATTTTTCTAGTTTGAAAAAGAAAGTGAGCAGACCAACATCTGGAATACTTCAATTAAGATTGTTTCCATGTATAATTATTATTGTATATGCTTATGAATTTACATTCATGGATTAGCTCTGAAGTTTATAATCTGTTAACACTTCTGTTAATAAAAAAAGGCAAGAGTTATATATAATAATAATTATTGGAGACAGTTACAAAGAATTTTTTAACATCTTCTAGTAGCATTTAGACACTATGGTCATTTAAGTCCCAAAATTGAGAAACCCTATGGAAGACACAAAGCACCAGTAAACACAAAATAATCTTGTTCTTACCAGGATGAATCTCTGATTGTGCCTTTGTTTCCTCCTTTATTGAACCATTTCCAATAGTATCTATGAGAATCGCAATATCAGTCTCCTTTATTAAGCCTCCTCTAATAGCAGCTGCAAAGTTTTCCATATCAGTCTCCTTTATTGAGCCTCTTCTAACAGCATCCACAAAGTTCTGTATATCTGTCTTCTTTATTGAACTTTTTCTAATAGCATCTACAGAGACTTCTACATCAGACTCTATAAAAATAAAAAGTTTCAAAACACACTTGTAAGGTAAATATTAACTTGTGTGTGTATGTATCTGCCTGTATGTGTGATATTGTTACTCCTCTGTAATATTATTTAATTTTAAAGGAATAATCATAATAATAAGACATGAAATACAAAAACATACCTTACTTGAAACTGCCATTAGCAACCAGAAAAAGATAATTATGTTAATGATTAGAGAGGGTTGGTCATTTTACCAAATAATATATCCAGGGAGTGCCAAAATCGAGACACTAATTTACTCCTCACAATATCTTAACAATAACATTTCCCATAAAATCTATACAGTCTTTTCAAAGTTCAGTCATACTGTGGATTTGGTCTGAATAATCAAAATTTCATGTGTACATTAAAAAACTCATGTGGTACTAATATAACAAGTGAGACAGGACACAATTTTTTTCCCCCAGACCACCTTACAAACTGTGGTCACCCTATTCATAGAATATTACCACAAGAAGAAATATTTGATTTGTACAGGAAAATTATAATTTCCCCCCTTAGGTTATTTAACCATAAATGAAGGAATTAGTGGTAGAAAAGTGTCTTGAGGGCTGTGATGAAATGTCCCATTAGGGACCAATCATATATAGACTTTCTAGCTGTATTAGAGGTGATGGGTCATATGCAATAACATGAGCGTTGGTCTTGTGTCCCTTTCATTTGAATATTTATGTGATTTTCAAATTTCAGCAGGTTTTAGAAACTTTTCTCCAGGTTCACTGAATTAGAACATAGCATGAAATTCATTGAAAAATGGCATGTGAAAAAAAAGGAGTCAGAATTGGTGCCTCTCAGGCACAGGTTAGGTAAAGTTTTGTGTACAAATTATTGGTTCTAAAACACTATGAACCAAAGTTGGAAACCCTGCATGATCTAGGTATCTTAGCTTGGAAGTCTTGTTTTGGATAAATAATTGAGCCCATGAATATTTAATGCTTCCATTGTCACCATGGAGACTGTGGGCCATCACTGGTGGGTAGACCAGTTGGTGCATCATTACCTAAACCAAAGGCATGTTGGATGGGCAGGACAAGTATTCTGTGATTAATCACCAACATTTGTGAAAGGAATGTGAGCTATAAAAACACATTACTGGAACATTAATGGGATTACTTATCCCTCTGGTCTTTATGCAACAGATACATTCAGAGAACTAATTCATTTGAGTAGAGTAGCAAAGGATCCTTAGATAAAAATGAAGACATTAAGAATAGCCCTTATGGAATCATGCTCAGTGAAATAAGTCAGAAAGGAAAAGAAAAATACCAGATGGTCTCACTCATGGCAGGAATTTAGAAAACTTGAATAAGGGACCAGGAAAAAGACTAATTAATACAAAGTAAAAATCAAAATCAACAAGCAACTATAAACCAGCAACACTACGGGGAGGGGAAGGGCAGGGAGAGGAAGGGCTATGGTCAAAATAAGGGGGGGTGCAATTGTATGGGGAAATATAACCAAAATGAAAATGTATACATTGTGCAAAAATGAAAAATGATGTAAGAATTATATAAAATAAAATATTTTTTTAAAGAAAGAATAGCCCTTATGCATAGATTTGTTTAAACACTGGGAGGATAAAATTCCTATAATGAAATAATTTATAATCTAATAAGAGTCAACTTTTCCTTCTTCATAATATTCTCTCATTACTTAACAATATTGCTGTATTCAAAATTGCTGTTTTGCTGTAATTCTCTCAGCTTTAAAGGAATACATTTCTACAAATATAACCACTGTTGATGTCTAATCAATGAATAATTAGAATACTCAAAAAACTGTATAATCCCTTTAGTCAATTATATATATATTTCAAATTTATACTGATTAAATTCAGGTATAGAATGTCATATCTATAAATTGTTGGGTTAGCTCTACAAAATTTTTGTGCTACTGTTTTATATATCACATGAACTAATATCAGAAACATTGTAAAAAATGTTTTAGTCATTTTTATGGCTCTGTATACCTTTTTAAATTAAATTTTTAATTAATTTTTTACTAAAAAGTTTTCTTACCTTTTTAAGACAATAATAAGATACTATAGCAAGTAAAAATTAACATAATTTGTTCAATTGCCCTTATTATTCATAAGCTCTGGAACTTTCATTTATTCTGCTAGATTCAAGTTACCATCTTATATCATTTTCTTCCTAAAATTTATCCTTCTTCACACCCTTCCCTTTGTGCAGATCTTGTGAAATATATTATCAGTCACTACTTTGGAGGACCAACAATGTAATTTTTTTTATCTACTCTTTTAAATCTCTTTGTTTTTCTCCTCAGCACAGTTACTATGGTGGGTCTGGGTGTGAATTTCTTGGTAGATAGTCTGTTACTAAAAGAGACTGAGTTTGCTTTGTGTAGATTCATATTTACCAACATATTTGTTCAAAGAGTTTCTTCTGCCCTTTTCTATCTCTACTCTAGTCAAATTATTCCCATTACTTACCTAAAGAGGAGACTCTCTTCTGACCTTTCAAATTTTGGCACCCATCAAGTTATTTACCACTGTGTTATCCTTAAATTTCATGTACCTTTAACTGCAGATTTTCCATTATGATTGAGAGAAAAATTCTTTCTGTATTTTTTGATGTTCCCCATTTGATGAGATGTTGCCATTAATCTTCTTTTTCTATTTAAACACAACTTTCTTCAACTCTTTCAACATATTTATTATATGTTGAAATAATGAGCTGAGAAGCTCATGAGAATTTTGGTTGTTTTTTTTTTCTTTCATTTTATCCTGTGTAATGCTCTGAATTTATTGTTAGCATATGTCATGGCTGTATTTTTTTTGGGGGGGGGTTGGGAAAGCTTGAAAAAATAGTCTTTAGTTAAAATATTGTAGCACAACTGGATACTAAGATGCCTTCTTAGTAAACTTGTTGTTTGCCTGATAATTTATTAGTGTTTGTGGTCTTCACTACTTCATATTTTATGAAGTCTCCTATTCAGTAATGTGAAGTTTCAAATATTGCTTTTCTGAGAGCACAGACATGGGTCACAATTAGATGACAACTGTTTTGTGATAGTGTTCCCCCTGTCTGCTTGCCTCTTTACCTTATTCCTCAGTTAAACTTTCTGCTTCCTTTGCATTGCACCAAAGATGAAGAGGAAGTATATTGAGCACTGTCATGCCAGGATAAAGTGGCATATTCTATGAACTATATAATAAAACTGATGATCTCTCCATCTGAGAATATAAATTCACCTGATATTTTAATCCTATAGAGGGAATATTATTTCCAATGAAAGAACTACTTGATTCTTCTTCCTATGACATTCATAAGCTAGCATTTTTGCTCTCACAAATACACTGTTGTATCTTTTCTTGTCAAAAAAAGGAAGTGATTATGCCAGTAGCTGGAATACTTCATTAAGCATACATATATCCGGATCCCTATAGTGATGGTTGTTTATGTACTACTTTCCTGGATAAACTCTAAAACTTACCATATGTAGGTATTTTTACATTGATAATAAAGGCAAGAGTTCAAGTAATTATAGAAGACAATTTATGAAGAAATTTTTTTAACATGTTTAGTCACTTATAAGCACTATGTTCATATAAAATCCAAACACAGAGAAACTCCATAGAAGATATAAAGCATGAACAGGCATGAGTTAATTTGTTCTTACCAGGATGAATTTCTGATTGTACCTCAGTTTCCTCCTTTACTGTACCTCTTCCAATAGCATCTGTGAAGCTGTCTATATCAATCTCTTTTATTGTACCTCTTCCAATAGTATCTGTTAATCTTTCCATATCAGTCTCTATGAAATAATTTCAAAACATTTTTGTTGGCAAATATTAACATGTATGTTTGTGCATGTACAGTGTGTGTGATATTGTTGCTACTCTCATTTGAATGTTTTAATTACAGAATTATAATCAAAGACATGCATTACAGAAACTTAAACCTTAACTTGAAAGCAATATTAGTAATTAGAAAGGGCTCATCATATTGAGGATCGAATAGGTATTGTGATTTGTCCAAAATGACATACTAGGGTAGAGCCAAAATGGATAAAAAACTGATTCCTCATAATTCCTTAACTCAGGTCTTTCCCCTAAAGTCTGAAGACTTTTGCAAAACTTAATCATACTTGAGATTTGATATGAGTACTAAAAACCTCATGTGCTTGATTTATATTAAAATCTCACTCATATGTATCACATTTACCAGGTGAGACAGAACACATTGCAATCTGTGACCACCCTTACAGCTTATTACCACTACATGTAAATACTATGATTTGTCACTGAAAATTGTAATGCCACCACTTTAGGTATAGAACCAAAAACCAAGGAGGCATTGGCAGTGAAAAAGTATAAGCGTTTTGAGGGCTGAGTCAGACTCCGTTCACATGTAGGCCTTCTAGCTGTTTCAGAGGTAATGGGTCATTTGTAAAAACATGAGCATTGGTTGAAGCCCTTTGAGTCTATATGTGATTTTCAATTTTTAGCTGATTTTAGAAAACTAAGCTCTAGGTCCAATGACAGAGAAAACAGAATCAAATTAATTCAAATAATTCATACCAAAAAATAAATGATTATATTTTAGCCTCTTAGTTGGGTAAAATTTTGCTAGCAAATTATTGCTTAATATACATTGTGAACCAAATTTGGAAACTGTGTGATTCATATATCACAGATTGGAAATCCTGCTTTGGAGAAATAATGGAACCCATTAAGATTAAAAGTTTTCACTCTTACGACGGCAGCATAAATTTACCACCACAATGGTAACAGAGGCAGAGACCAGTTTGAGTATCATTATCAAAACCAAAGATAATAGAATAGACAGAACAAGTGTTCTTTAAGTACTACCAACATCTGTGAAATGAATGTTAACTGTAGCAATGTGTACTGGGACTATTACCAGGCACACTTACCCCTCTGATTTTAACAACAAATAAACTTCAAAGTGTCGATTTATTTGAATTGAAATAGGAAAGGATCCATAAATATGGTTGGAGACATTAAGAATAGCTCTTGAGAGCATACTAGGTTAAACGCTGGGAACACAGAAGGCCTGGTAGGGGAGTAATTTGTAATCTAATAAGAATCAACAATTCCTCCTATAAAACATGCTCCTACTGCTTATCATCATCAGTCTTCTTCAAAATGATTCCCTTGATGTAATTCTCTCAACTTTTAAAATAATACATAAAGGTAACATAACCATTACTAGTATTTCATCATTGAATATCATTAGAATATTTGCAGAACAGAGTACAATATCCAAAATCAATTTTAGAATCTACTTCAGATTAAAACTGATTAAACTCCAGTGAAATAGGGAAATGTCACACCTTTAAAATTGTATTAACTTTGCACCATTTGGGGACTACTTTTTAATTGCCACATGCATAAATACCAAACACTATAAGAACTGTTATAATCTTCTCTTTACGAAACGGTGTATCTTTTAAAGACACAGAGAAGAAATTAGAGCAAGTAAATATTAACAGTATTTGTTTTTTTTTTAAAAATGGTAATTTTTCTTAAGTTCTTTAGTTTTTTTTTTAAGATTTATTTATTTTTATTTTATTTATTTATACAAGCACTGGGTACAGTCAGAAGCGTGGGAGGGTGAGAGAATTCACCAGAGCCAGAGCAGGGAGCAGAGCAGGCAGAAGGACCGAAGCACACTGCTGAGGGGAGCAGTGGGCTGCAGGAGAGATCTGCACGCCATGTGGGACCCTCTTCCGGTGGCCGGGGAGCAGCCGGGGATCGAACCAGCGCTGCAGAGGCTGCGGGCAGCTTTGCAACCCAGTGCTCAACCGCTGCACCACCGGGGAGGCAAAATATTAACAGTATTTGTTATATTAATCTTCTTATTCACAATCTTCATATCTTTTTAGTGATTCCTACGGATTCAAGTTACCAACTCATTTTCCTCCTCCAATTTATCCTATTCCTAACCTCTCATTGTTTTGTTTATTTATGAAAAAAATTTATCATATTTTTCTGAACATGGTTTTCTGTAGTTTTTTAACATACTTATAAAAATTTCTGTGTAAACACTGACTTTTTAGTCTAACATTAGGCAAATTCTATTTCTTGTTTAGTCTTTGGAAACATTGTCTGTCTAGTCTAGCATTAGGCAAATTCTATTTCCTGTTTGTTCCTGGGTTAGGGCACAAATTGCTATTTCTTATTTTTTTTTCTTTTTTGCTAATGACAGGGTGTTCAAAGAATGTATTATAGAATATTACATTCTATATTATTTACTTTTACTGTATATTTTCTGACCAACATAGCATAACTAACAACTGAATTAAATGCTGGTGAGATATTAAAAGTGCCAGACATTATCATCATGGAGAAAAAAAAATACTGTTATATTCTTTTTCTTAACACATCTATCACCTAGAATTTCTGCAGTAGCAAGTTTGAAAAAATCAATTTCTATGTAAACAAGGAATAGAAAGTGGTACTATATAATTGCTTATTTGTGCACTAATCAAATTCTAAGTTTACTATAACATTGGTTTTTATGGATCCCATTTTAGATGAATGAATGCTAGAATTAAAATAACTAGATACTTCAAATATTAATCCATAAAACAAACAAACTACTAACTAAAGTGGGACATCATGAAAGCTTTGATCCAAAAAATGGTAAACTATAAAACTATTGCTATGAAACATTTAATTACACTTCTTAAAAGATAACTGAAAGTGAAATAATTGACTTCTAATATCCTTGTTCTTACCTGGAAGACTCACTGGTTGTGTCTCAAGTTTTTTCTTTACATCTGTTGTTTGAGTTGCCTCTGTCAACTGTTCTACATTACTTCCTATAGATATAAAGAGATTTCAAAAATATTTTGTATGGAAGCCATTACCATGTGGATGTGTGTATGCAAATCTCTTTCATCATCTGTGTTTGGGTAATTAATTAGTTAATTAGCATTTGTGTTTTTATAAGAAATTTTATTTGTAAGCAAGTTTTAAAAACCTTAATGTGGGAAGAGATGGAGAATTTTTATGAGCAAGTTATACTGGGGTATAGAGATGTTTAGTTTTATGACTAAAAATAATATTCAGGAATGACACATTTTATATATAGCCATATGTTCCATAATTTCTTAACCAGTATTTTTCTATTTGGTGATAATCTCTTATGTAAATTAAAGATATCTCAGAGAAATTGTCATACAATATCTATCTTCCATAATTACATTAACTCACACACATACTGTGGGGATATACATGGTAAGAAGAATGTAACTTTTCCCCCTACAATTCAAATTGTAAATCTTAGTCACAGAAACATACCTCGACAAAAATATATTTAATGTCATATCTCTACCAAGCATTAAATTAAACACAATACCCAGTCAGTAAAGAACATGGTTTAAAAGAATTCATACTAACATTTTGTGATAGAAAGATGAGATACAGCAACACTAGCAGATAATTTTTAACAACAGATATAATTTCTTCAACAGATATAAGTCAAAAGAACAGAACTATCTGTATGAAGGAATCAAAGCATTCTCAAATAAACAGGGAGGTAATGAAATGCCATTTTAGGCAAGATTGGGTTAAGGACCAATAATTAAAAGCTAAACACTAGCGAATCTTACAATCAAGTAAGGGTCATAATTTTCTCCTTCACAATACCAAGAGGTTGGTTTAAATCTTTCAGAGAATCACTTACTACTTGTTCACTCAGTCATTTTCATATAGTATGGCATACAATTTGCCTATTGAAACTACAATTCAAAGGTTTCTTTAAAACTTATATTGGGATGTGTGACATCAACATTGTCAATTTTTTAATCCACTTCAGACTAACACTAATTCCAATGAGATATAGAATTCTTACTCCTCTATAACTCTATTACCTCTTTCACTGTAGTATTTTTGTTATCTGTATTATACCTATACATTTGAACTTATTTGTGATAATTATTTCTTTGTAGAGTCTAGTGTCCTTTAAAGAAGTCAAGAACTAGGATGAGCAAGTATATGTTCACATCGCTTACAATATTAACATTCTGACATTTAAATTCTGGTTTTTGCATTTTTTCCTGTGGATTCCAGCTAACACACTATCACTTTCTTACTCATTATGACTGCTCCCACACATCACCTGTGTGCTGCTACTGTGGTGTATATTTCCAGATTTTATAGACCCAGCCAATCATCAGTTTATTTTTTTAAACAATTACTTTTTAAATCAATTAAGGCAAATAGATTAGATAATCTTTTTTTAATGCCAACTAGGTATATAGAATACTCTTTACCCATGCTGTTTGTGAGATGGATTCAAATGACATGTCTGTGGTCAATCACTTTCAACCTGAGAACTTACTTTGTATTCCCATAAGGCAAGTCTGTTAAAAACAGTTCTCATACTCTTTATTTGGGAATCTGTTTAATCTCACTTTCAATTTTGAAAATAGTTTTTCTAGATATAGTTGGTATGCCAGTTTTTTCTTTCAGCATTTTTTTAATATTTTATTTTATATAATTCTTACATCATTTTTCATTTTTGCACAATGTATGCATTTTCATTTTGGTTATATTCCCCATACATTTGCACTCCTGCCACCACAGTGACATCTGCCACCTCCAGTTTCCCATGCTAAGTCAAGAGGTCAGTTTACCAGGATGATTTTAACTTAGAAGACGTGTTTTCCTTTCCAGGCATTCAAGATTTTCCCTGTCTTCCTTCTCAGCACATTCACTGTGATGTGCCTGGGTGTGTATCTCTTGGTACTTATTTTGCTAAGATATTGCTGAGCTTTGTATGTGTACATTCATATTTATCAACAAATATCTTTCAATTTTTTCAGCCATTACTTCCTTGAAGAGTTTTTTCTGCCCCTTTCTTGGTCTGTTCTACTTAAATTATTCCCATTATTTTAGGTGTGGAGACACTTTTCTGACCCTTCATATCTATTCATTAGCACCTCTATTTTTCTTTATAATTCTTATATTTTCAACACCATATTTTTCATTATCAAAAAATATTTTCTATGTCCCTTTGTGATATTCCCAGCTTGATAAGATAATCATCTTCTGTTTAAGCACAGTTTCTTCAAATTTTTAAACACATACAACTCTTTTCAGGAATTCTACATCTGGGATATTCATAGGAACACTTTGTTTTTTCATTTTTTGTATAGCCCCCTAAATATTGTGCATTTTAGTGTTTCATTGCTGTTTTCTTCTGGAGGTTGGGAAGGTGTGTAAAAGTAGCCTTTCTATTGAAATACTGTAGCAAACCTGGCTACTGAGTTTCCCTCTTCTTTTCACTTTTATTTTTGTTTCTGGCTTTTTGCCTCATTATTATATATTGATTAGTCTGCACTATTTCCTATTATATGAAGTCTGCTTCCCTACAACTTGATGTTTCTAGTTGCTTCTCTGTTCAGATAATTGGACATGTATTCAGTCGTGACTGAATGAGACCAGTTTTATGATATTGTTCTCTGTGTCTCTCTAGTTTTCTCTTTATCTTACTTCTCTGCTAAACTCTCTGACTCCTTTGCTATCAGAACAAATGAGGAATTATATCAAACTCTGTGATACCAAGATAAGGGGCAATAGAGAAACTATAAAGTATAAAACAAAAATGATGAACTCTCCTGCATCTCAGAGATATTTTAATCAGAGAGAAGGAAATAATAACCAATGAAATAACTACCTGCTCTATTCCTCTTCTTTCCACATTCCTGAGCTAGCATTTTTGCTTTTGAAAAGAATTGTATTTTTGCTCACCCCAAAAAGGAAGTATGTAGATAAGGATCTGGAATCCTTCCATTGTATTAGTTCTAGGTCTATATAGCACTGAATGTATATGCATTGCTCTCATGGATGGGCTCTGAACCTTGTAATACAAAGTGTTATTCCACTGACAATAACTGTAGACTTCAAGTAATTACAGCAGTTTATGAAGAATTTCTTAAACATACTCTAGTAGCCTACAGGCACTGTATTTATCAAAAATCCAAACACAAAGAAACCCCAGAGAAGACACAATGGACAAAAGATATAAAATAATCTTGTCCTTACCAGGATAGATACTTGATGTCTTGGTTGCCTCCTTTATTGCACCTCTTCCAGAAACAGCTCTGAAACTTTCTGTATGCATCTCTACAAAAAATAAACAGTTTCAAAATGTTCTTTCATTCTTTAACCACAGCTTTGTTCAACTCTTAAAAATACAACTGCTTTTGGAATACAACATCTGGGAGGCTCATGTGAACTCTATGTTGTCTTTCATCTTCTGTATGGCTCACATTTCACTGTAATTTTTCATCTGTCATGTCCTTTTTTTCACTTTGAGGCATTGGAAGGATGTAAAATGGCCTTTATATGAAATGTTGTACCATACCTGGACATGAATTCCCTCTCCTTTATAGGCTTGTCATTGCTGTTTTCCTGATTGATTGATTGATAGAGTCCTTTAGTGACTCCATTGTACTACATCCTATTCTATGAAGTCTCCTCCTCTCTACAGTGTCATGCTTCTAATGTTTCTCTTCTGAGGGCATGACTTGGGTATACATTCATTTACAATTGGATTACTTTTTTTTATGACAGGGCTCTCTCTCTCTCTGATTGTCTCTCTACCTTATTTCTTAATTAAGCATTCTGCTTCCTTCGTTGCCATACATAAGATGAAGTGTGTTAAATAGTCATGCCAAGATAAGGGCCCATAGCAAAAAATTATGAACTCTATAACAAAATGGATCATCTCTCCTTCATCTTAGACATAAAATTACCTGATATTTGATTATATAGTGGAAATAATAACCAATGAAATAACTATCTACTCAACTCTTATTTTTTTCATTTTTCAACAAGCATCAGGCAGCCCCTCCCCCTCCACCCCACTCACGCCTCTGGGCTGGTCTAGCTGCTGCCTTGGGCTTGTCAGTTCTAATGAATTTGCTCTTCTCCAAGTCTTTACTCAAACTTCTTTTCAAGGAAGGCCACTGAGCACCTTTTTTTTTTATATATATACTGCAATCTCTTATCTCCTACTCTCTTTCTCCCCAGATGCCCCTATTTTTTAACCTATTTCTATATTCAGTCTCTTTAGTGAAGAACTGTCTTTGTTCCTGTATCTCCTTTCTGAGGAGATCTTGCATCTGCCTGTCTACCTTTGACTGGTCTCCCAGTATCTCATTTAACATTTTTAATATTCTTGAAGTCATCGTCAGATAGTTTCTCTATTTCTGTCTCCTTATACTTGTCGCAGGACCTCTGTCATTTTGCTTTTCCATCTTGTGTTGAGATGTTCTTTGCTTCCTAGACATGCACAATACCTTGTTTCTTGTTATTTGTGTGTGTGTGTGTGTGTATGTGGTTGGGGTACTGGGGATTTATCTTTGTCCTCTTCTTTTTCTACCTTTGTGTGAGGTGGAGAAAGGAGGGGTTCTAGGCTTTTAATATTTAATCTTAGTTTGAGGAGTGACAGTTGCCTCTATTGCTCATTTTGCTCAACAGTAAGCTGTATTCTGTGCTTAGGTTGCCTTCACTTCCCTCCCCACCTCACTGTTGTTCCTTTTCTTCTAGAGTTGTGATCTGTGAAGCTTGGGCCTCCCAGTGGGAAGGGCACTATCTGGATCTCCAGGCTCATACTCTGGGAATAGTTTGCACCTGACTCAAAGGCAGCTCTGTGTGTGTGTAGTGGGCACACATTGCTACCCACAATGGCCAAGCTGCTCTACCCTCACCTGAGCTACCATTTCTGCAGTGCTAGGAAGTATAAATACCCTTGTTTTCCTGCCCACCCCTTTGCCCACCCCCTCCCCCAAGGATTTGTGAGTTAACTCTAAAGACCTTATTTCTGGTGTAGAGCTTTTTATGGAGTCTGGCCCGGCTCCACTTGGCTTTTCTTTGATCTGTTCTGGGAGAAGTAGGAGACGGAGCTTTCAGTGGTCACACAGCCCCAATTGTGGGGTTCCAAATTTCCTGGATTGGAGTTTTCCAAGCTCTCACTGCCCCAGAGGGACACAGGCCCACTTTCATATCAATAAAATTCCTTAAGAGAATTTTGTAACTTCTTGGATTTCTCTTGGCTTGGCTTGGGAAGTTGATACCTAACTCTGACATGCTCCCTCTCTTGCCTCTTCCTACTCTCTCCCCTCAGTGACCCAACCTTAGTTCTTGAACTCCCTGGGAATGTCCTGGAGCTGTATAGCGGTTCAAAGCATCTGGATTTTTCTAGGAGAACATATCAATTTTTTTTCTAGTTGTTTTCAAGGAAGAGAGTGATAACAGCCTTCTTATTCCAACATGAGGGTGAAGTCCCTCAATTCCTCTTCTTATCATATTTCTAAGCAAGCATTTCAGCTCAAATACACAACTGTAATTTTTCTAGTCCAAAGTTCCAATAACTGGAATACTTCATGAAGCACATATCCAGGTCTCCATAGCTTTGGATTTTTATGCATTACTCTCAGGTTGATGTGTTCTTAAATGTATAAGTAGTAGCTATTTTCCCACTGATAACATTCAGTAATTATAAGAGAAAATTATGAATTTTTTCAGTAAGTTCTAGTAGCCAATAGGCAGTGTGGTCACTAGAGACGCAAATACTAAGAAACCCATAGAAGATAACTAAATAACAACTAGACATGCAATAAACTTGTTTTTACCAGTGTAACTCTTTGATTGTGTCTTGATTTCCTCCAGTATTGCACCTCTTTCAGTAGCATCCATTGAACTTTCTATATCTGTCTCTATAAAAATGAAGAGTTTCAAAACAATTTTGTATAACATTAACATTTGTGTTTGTGCATGTGCATGGTATGTTACTCCTCTGTTTAGATTTATTTTAATTACAGGGGAAGAATTTTAATGAAAGGTATGGATTGCAGAACCACAATACCTTAGTTTATAAGCACCATTAACAATCAGAAAAATCTAGTTATATTGAAGATTGGAGTGTTTTAGTGACTTGACCAAAGTGACATATCCAAGTAGTGCCAAAATTGATACCCAAACTGGCTCCTCATAATCCCTTAACAAAAGCCTTTCTAGTAAAATCTATTCATACAATTGCAAAATTAATTCATACTGTGGATTTTATGTGAATAAGAAAAATTTCAAGTGCATGTTTAAAGCATACTCATGTATATAGCTATACCTAATGAGAAACATAATAGAACATTTTGTTCCAGTTGCCATGTTCCAAGTTCTATTTTGTTCCAAGTTGCAAAATATGGTCATTCTACTCACAGAATATTACTATGACAGATAAATTAATTTGTCCAGGAAAATTTTAATACTCCCCATTTAGTTTATGTAACTAAAAGCCATGAAGTTATTAGTGATGGGAAAGAAAGGCAAAAAATTGGTGGAGTAATATAACACCCCCTTTCAGGGCCAATTTGCATGTATACTCTAGCATAGCATGCCTTCTAGAAGAAATGGGTCATTTGCAAGAGTGTAAGCATTGGTCTGTATCACTTATATTTGAGTCTTCATATGATTCTTACTTTTTAGATGAATTTAGATATACTCTCTAAGTCCAATGACAGAAAAATAGGATAAAATTATTTTAAAAGAATTACATATGGCAGAAGAGACTCTCAGTGGCTTTGAGTGAAGTTTTAAGACAAAATGTTGGTTCTAATAGAGTATGTGAAAATAGTTGAAGACCTTGTGTGACCCAGATTGGAAGTCTTTGGAGAAATGCCTGAGCCCATGAATATTTAAAGTTTGCACTATCACCATAGCAGTACAAATATACCACCGCTGCCACCTAAATAGACAGGCATCATTACCTAACCAAAGACACACTGGGTGGTCAGGGAAGGCGTTACATAACTAATCACCAACTTTTGCGAAAGAAATATGAGTTATAGTAACACATAGTTGGTGAACATTAGTGGATACATGCTGCAGGGGCCTTGCTGCCCCAGCCAGATAAGATGCTGGCAAGTAATTGAGAAAAGGGCCTCACACCATGGGGCCTAAGACTTTCAAAGGGCCTCACACCTTGGGGCTAAAGAAAAGGGTCTCACCCTGTGGAGCCAGAAGACTTTTAAAGGGCCTCACACCGTGGGGCTAAAGATTATAACCTATAAACATCCCTTTGTTTTTTGTTCTTGGTCATAACAAGAAAAAACTTCTTGGAAAATACATTGGGCAATAAATTATACATATAAGAATATTGTAAGTACATGCCATGGAGAAATACTTGCTTAAAAATTAAACACTGAACAATCTGGCCCACTTGACAATGGGAAATAATTGTTGTACAAGAGTCCACCTGATAAGCAACCCAGAGCTGGCCACAAATTTCCTTTTATGGAAGTTCCATAAAGAAGCCTTTTAATGATTCATGAAATTGATTACACTAGGAGTTTCTATGTAGAAAAAGTTCTGATAACTGATAACCAGGAAGCAACTGGTCTCTAGCTGCAGGCCATATAGAAAGAGGAGTCTCCTGATATGGTAGCCTTGGCGGATAAGGGTGTACCAAGGACTATTAGCTCTTAGGTAATTGTTTAGGCTGAAATAATGAGTATAAGTTTTTATCATCTATTAACTTTAAAGGTCACCTCTTTTCTCAAAACACATAGGTACCAAATGTCCATGGGAAAGGAATGTACTGATTGTTTCTGTTTTGCTTCCATGCATATGATGATGTCATCTCACCGCTTGCCTTAATGTATAAATAAAGACCCGCTGAGACCCTCAATAGGAGATACTTGCACCAGATAGAGTGTCTATGTCTGCCTCACTTCCCCTCCCCCTCAGTCCTCAGTTTCGCTGTCTCATCCTTTCAGGAACCCCTGACACAACATTTTGCCAGAGTTGGCCTTCAGCAGATATGCTTTAACTCTGGTCTTTTTCAAACAGATTCAATTCAAAGAACTCGATCAAGGGTCGTTAGATAATCATGAAGAACATTAAGAATAGTCCTTGGGGGCCTCCCTGGTGGCATAGCGGTTGAGCACTGGGTTGCAAAGCTGCCCGCAGCCTCTGCGGCGCCGGTTCGGTCCCCGGCTGCTCCCCGGCCACCGGAGGAGGGTCCCGCATGGCGCGCAGACCTCTTCTGCCGCCTGATGCTCCCCTCAGCAGTGTACTTCGTCAGTCTGCCTGCTCTGCTCTCCCCTCTGGCTTTGGTGAATT